TTCAACCTAAAAAATATCAAGACAATAGGAGAAGCAGCTCTGCTGACCAGGAGGCAGCAGATGAGTTCCTAGACGCCATTAAGAAAATCACTGAGGAGAATGGATATCTGCCTGAACAGGTTTTTAATGCAGATGAAAATGCTCTATTCTGGAAAAAAAAAAAGCCACAAAAGACATTTATTACTAAAGAAGAGACGTGAGCACCAGGATTTAAGGCAGGAACTTAAATCCTAACTAACTCTACTGTTTTTGTGCAAATGCAGTAGGGTTAATGATCAGGACTGCTTTATCTGTCTGTAAAGCGGCTAACCCCAAGCCTTGAAGGGAAAAGATAAACACCAGCTGCCAGTCTTGGTTACAAAACAAGAAGGCCTGGATAACAAGAACCTTTTTAGATTGGTTCCACTGAGGCTTTGTCCTTGAAGTCACAAAGTACCTTGCCAGTAAGGGAATGTCTTTAAAGTTCTTTTGTATTTGGACAATGCCACTGGCCACCCAGAACCCTCACCAAAGCTGTCAAATGGTCTACTTGTCCCCAAACACAACATCTCTAATTCAGCCCCTAGATCACAAGGACCATTAAGGCTTATTACACATGGTACTCTATGGTAAGGACTGTCAACACTATGGAAGAGAGCCTCAAGAGAGAACACTATGACAAACTAAAAGACTTACACCACTGAAGATGCCACCGTTGTTAGAGAAAATGCTGTGAAAGCCAACAAACCTGAAACAAATTCCTGCTGGAGAAACTGTGTCCAGATGTTGTGCACGACTTCATAGGATTTACAACAAAGCTAATGAGGGAAACTATGAAAGACATTGTGAATAAGGAAAAAAAGGTGGGTGAAGGGTTTTAAGATATGGATCTTGGAAAAATTCAAGAGCTAACAGACGTCACACCAGAGGAAGTGACAGAAGACAGCTTGATGAAGATGAGCGCTTCTGAATCAGCGCCAGGTGATGAGGAAGAAGACACAGAAGCAGCAGTGCCAGAAAACAAACTGACGTTAGATAATCCGGCAGAAAAGTTCTGATTATTTAAGACTCCTGACTTCTTTTACGACACGGGCTTTTCTGTGATATGGGCACTGAAACTGAAGCAAATGGTGGAAGAAGGATTGGTACCACATAGAAACATTTTTAGAGAAATGAAAAATCAAGAAAATGGTCAGACAGAAATTACAGTGTTTTTCTGTAAAGTTACACCAGTGGGCCTGCCTCGCCTGCTCCTCTTCCACCTCCACCTCCTCCACTTCTTCCATCTCTGCCATCCCTGAGACAGTAAGACCAATGCCTCCTCTTCCTCCTCCTCCTCAGCTTACTCAACGTGAGGATGACGAGGATGAAGACCTTTATGATGCTCCACTGCCGTTTGATGAGTAGTAAATAATCACCGTGCTGTACAGTTAATAAACTTACCTGTTGTGTGTGCGTGTGTCTTCCTGTGAAAATCTAGTGACTGTATGGTAGCAAGAATGGGATGAGATGTATTTTATCAACATCATCATGATCATCAAGGATTCATCATGTAGAACACCGTGTGCAAGATTTGTATTAAAGTCGACAGCTTATCCTTACATAGGCATAAGGTGAGTGATATTTAATATAAAATTAATAATGTGTTTGTTTTCTTGTTTTGTAACTTCACTTTCAAAGAACTGCATTACCATATGGTATGCCTCTCTTGTAACTGGAGAAATTGCATATCAGCCTGTCATCACAGATAGTGATTTTTTTTTAATGTAACTGTTTCCAATACTGTATTATGAATCTGACTGTAATACCATATTCCATAAAAATTGTACAGCACTTCATCTATTAGTGTATAGGCTCAGCTACCGTGTAGCCATCACACTGCTGCTTCTTCATCACCAATAAGTGAATTGTTCATTATACCTATAATACAAATTTCTTTTCCACATTATCTTTTCATTTTTGATGTCTAGTGTTGTAATACATACAAATTTCTACAGTGTTTTGCATCACTTAAGACAATATTGATGTAGGTACTGTAAGAAGACAATTCACCTTGTAAATAGATGATGTAAACTATGGTACCGATAAATACAGTATAGTACTGTAAATGTATTTTCTCTTCCTTATGATTTTCTTAATAACATTTTCTGTTCTCTAGCTTACTTTATTGCAAGAATACAGTATATAATACATGTAACATACAAAATATGTATCAACCGACTGTTTATGTTATTGGTAAAGCTTCCAGTCAACAGCAGGCTATTAGCCGTTAAGTGTTTGGGGAGTCAAAAGTTATACGTGGATTTACAACTGTGCAGGGGGTTGGTGCCTCTAACACACCAACAACACCTGTGTTGTTCAAGGGTCAACTGTAATACTCAGAGTGCCCCAAAGGCTAAAGAATCTTGGACAAATAAAGGACAAAACCATCATATAAGTCAGATACCTCACAGTATTCAGCAACTGAGAAAGAAAACACTCTCAGTGGGCCTTCCCTTAGATATGCAGGTAACTGTGCTTACCTACTGAAAGCAGGTGGCTGTAGGTCTCCAGCATCACATCCCGGTACAGGATTTTCTGATCAAGGTCTAGTTGCTGCCACTCTTCTCTGCTGAAATCTACAGCCACATCCCCTGAAGGACACTGATCCCTGTAAGGGCACATTCCTGTTCAGCATGAATAATTAGCTTTGGGGGAATGGAGAGACTATTTAGAAACATAGAACTTGGGTTTTGCTGCTGTTAATACACTCACTCTTTTTAAAAAATCACCTCCCATCATTTCCCTAACATTTTATTATGCAATTTTATAAACATACAGAAAATTTAGAAGAATTTTATAGTGAAAACCTCTATGACCACCACTTGGAATCTATCACTAACACATACTATACTTGTTTTACCACACAGTCACCCATCCTTTTACCCATTCATTAATCCATCTTACTTTCTAGTGCATTTCAAAGTAAACTACAGATGCCAGTACACTTCCTCATAAATACTTCAGAATGCAAATCACTAACTACAGTATAGTTAACCTTTTTCAGGTAAGCTTTACATATAATGAAATGCACAAATCCTTGGTATACCATTTGAAGTTTTGACAAATGCACACACCTGTGTAATCCAGGAACTTTTAAAAATAAGGTTTCATATAGGGTATATATTAAATATCTAGTTTTACATAATATTTTATGGAAGACAGACATCAAATAAAGAATTTCTGCTTTGTTCTATACGGTTCTAAGTCAATTATTTGTTCTTCTAAACTGAAGATTGAACTACACTCTTATTCTTCTAGCAACTGGATGAATGACCTGTGATACAATTTCTGAGCAATTTAGAACTAGCCATTATGCTAGTCGTAGAAACACAAAAATGAATTATTTATGTTTCCAATGTTCTAGCAACTTAAAAGAATTGGAAAACAAATAAGATCTAAGGTTTAAAAGAAAAGAAGAAGACGCAAGTTCACTAAAGTGTCAAAAAATAAATCTCCATGTGGAACACACTGAGGTCCCCAAACAGGAAAAAGTCCATTCTACATGGGGGTGTAAGTTTATATTAGGTGAGGAATTTAAGTTGGAAGATGAGAAGTGTAATACAGAATGGGGTTGTGAGGGAGGCCAGAAAAGATGAAAGCAAACGTGTGGATACAGGAAAACACACAGTGAATTTGAAGAACAGCAAACAGATCTATGTAAGTAGAGAGAAGTCTGCACGATATGATAGGAAGGTGGTTATAGGAAAAGCAGTTTGCTCATAGAACAAGTATGAATGTTTCACTTTAAGTAAAGGTAATAATCAGATTTATATTAATATATTTCCCTGTAAGATCTGTATTGCAGAATAACCAAATAAATAATGAGGAAAGGTTCTTTACAAAATGATTGCTCACTAATCTACTCTAGAAGTTAGGATAGAATTAGAATAACATCATTTCATTACTCCTAGTGAAATAATGGGTTTAGACAATAATCATTAAGGGTTGCTCAACTGTTTGAGGTGAAAGGCTGAAGAGAAGTTTAAAATGGATGAATCAGCTAGCAACATCTGCACCCACTGATTGATGTGTTTTAACATCACAAAAAGAGAGATAACCAGATACTATGTGCCTCCTGACATGATACAGTAATTAATTTCATTCTATCACCCAATTGAGTATTTTTGCCAAATATATTAAAAAAATCCAGCCTGAATCTCATTAAGCCTCCAGATCTAACAAATCATTCATAGGTAATTGAAGGATAGAGTAACATAGTAAACAATATCAAGACCAAAACATCAGCTAAATCCATAAAGCAGCAAATGATCTGTTTCTCCAAAAAATAAACTACAACAGAAAAAATACGGAGGGGAATCTTCTCTTTATTAAAAGAGACTTCAGAGTCATACCAAACAAATGCAACTTACGGACTTTGTTCGGCCCTTAATTAAAGCAAACCAAAATTAAAAAGGTATTTATGGCATGTTTAGAGAAATTCAAACAATAACTGGGTATTAAATGATATCTAGGAATTACTGTTATGATTTAGGTGTGATCATGGCTTACTGCTTATGTTAAACAAAAAGGAAGAAAAAAAGAATTCTCATCTCTTAGAAATACACATCAAAGTATTCAGAGATAAAATGGTGTTTGAGATTTACTTTAAAATAATCCAGCAGCTGGGGAGGAGGGTGGTTTTAGATGATACAAGAATGACACAATGCTGATGGCTACCAAAGCCGAGTGACAGGCACAATAGATACAAGGGCTCCTTATATTATTCTCTTTACTCTTGACTACATTTATATTTAATTCATAATAAAATGTTATTTTTTTAAATGTTATTTTTTAAAAACATGATATTAAAAATCTAATCTGGAAATGCATAATGGAAGGAATGGCTATTTTCATCTGGAATCATAAACATTTAAAAAAGGCATTATAGGGACTTGAACAGTCCACATTCAGCAAATTATAAGAATAGTTAGACAGGGTATCATCAATGATATAGAAGAACAACAGGATCTAATCAATATTTAGAATATTCCAACCAATGGCAGCAGAATACATATTCTTTTCAAGCATTCATAGAACAGTGACTAAGACAGACCATATCCTAGGTTGTAAAACAAACCTCAACAACTGAAAAGAACTGAAATAATCTGAAGTACGTTCTCTGACCATAATGGAATCAAACTAAAAATCAATAACAGAAAAATCTCTGAAGAAATTATATTAGAAAATAATAACAAAAGCTATCTGGAAAGTTACAAAATATCTGAAAATTAAACAATACACTTCTAAATAACATGTAAGTCAAAGAAGAATCCTCAAAAGAAATTTAGAAAATACACAGAACTGAAAGAAAGTGAGAATATAACATATCAAAATCTGTGGGATGCAGATAAAAGTGTTGAAAGGAAAATTTATAGCATTAAATGCTTACATTAGAAAAAGGGAAACAAACAATCCAAATAAAAAATGCGCAGAGGATTGGAATAAGGCATTTTTTTCCAAAGAAAATATACAGATTGCCAGCAAGTACATGAAAATGTGTTCAACATCACTAATGATCAGGGAAGTACAAATCAAATCCACAAAGAGACATCACCTTACACCTTACACCTTGCTAGAATGGCTGTTATAAAAACAAAAAACAAATACCCCCAGAAATATAAGAAATAACAAGTGCTGGCAAAGATGGGGGGGAAAGGAACCCTTGTGCACTACTGGAAGAATGTAAACTGGTGCAACCACTATGGAAAACACTTTGGAGTTTCCTCAAAAAATTAAAACTAGAACCATCAAATTGTCTAGCAATTCCACTTCTGGATACTTTTTCAAAGGAAATGAAAACACTAACTTGAAAAGATATACGCACCCTCACATTCATTGCAGCATTATCTACAATAGCCAAGACATGGAAGCAACTTAAGCGTCTAATGATGGATGAATGGATAAAGAAAATGTGGTATTTATGTATGCAATGGAAAATTATTCAGCCATAAAAAAGAAGGAAATCTTGCCATTTTCAACAGCATGGGTAGACCTCGAGGGCATATAGTAAGTGAATTAAGTCAGAGAGAGAAGGAAAAATACTGTATGATCTCACTTTTATGCAGAATGTTAAAAAACCCCAAAAGAACAGGAACTGAATTCACAGATACAGATTAGAGATTGGTGGCTGCCAGAAGCAGAGGGTAGATGGGCAAAATGGGCGAAGGTGGTCAAAAGTATAGGCTTCCAGGTATAAAATAAGTAAGTTATGGGATGTAATATACAGCAATAGTAACTATAGTTAATACTGTATTGTATTTTTGAAAATTGCTAAGAGAAATCTTGAAGGTTCTCAACACAAGAAAAAAAGATAGTTAACTATGTATGGTGATGGATGTTAACTAGATTTACTGCAGTGACCATTTCACAATATATATAGACATCAAATAACATTGTATACCTGAAACTAATGGGTTAAACATCAATTATATATCAATTTTTTTTTAAATGGAAGAGGAAAGTTCTCAATCAATAATCTAAATTCCTACCTCAAGAAACTAGAAAAAGAAAAGCAAAATAAACCCAAAGCAAGAAAAAAGAAGAAAATAATAAAGAGTACGTATCAATGAAATTGAAAACAAAATTTTTTTAAAAACTGGAGAAAAGTCAATAAAACAATGTAGTTATTTTGGGGGAAAAAAATCACTAACATTAATAAACCTTGCTGACTGTCCTAGCAGTCAACCAGACTGACAAGGATAAAAAGAAGATACAAATCACCAATGTCAGGAATGAAACAGGAGTATCATTACAGATGCAGCAGCCATTAAAAGAAAAATGAGGGAATACAAAAACTGTGCTAACAGAGTCAATAAGTTAAAAGAAATGGACCAATAACTCCAAAATCACAAACTACCAAAACTTAACATGATGAAATGGAAAAGGTGGTAATAACCCTACAACCATTAAATTAAATTAAATTCATTATGTAAAAGCTTTTGAAAAAGAAATCTCCAGACCCAGACAGTTTTACCAGAGAATTCTACTAAACTTTTAACAAAGAGTTAGTCTTATTTTTACATAATCTCATCCAGAAAATAGAAGAGTAGGAAATACTTCCCAACTAATTTTATGGGACCAGTATTATTACCCTGATACCAAAACAGTGCAAAGACAGTACCAGAAAGAAAACTACAGACTAATACCTCTTGTGAACTTAGATGCAAAAATCCTAAAGAAAATGCTGGCAAACCAGATCCAGCAATGAATAAAAAGAATTGTGTACCTCAATAAACTGGAATTTATGGGAGAACTCTCGGTAGTATATTTTGCAATGCCTTTGACTCTATAAGTATTTCAAAATAAATTAAAAATTTGAAAAATATACTGAAGAACGATTATCCTCAAAACAGAGTATTCTGAAATGGGCAAGACAGGAAAGTCAGTCCCAAGAAGCACTGCACAATTCATGTGAGAGAATACAAAATCCTTACTCACCTAAAGTAAGGCTGTGGTAAGGCTACAGGAGAGATTGCTGTTAATAATTAAGGAGGTAAAACTGATACTGAGTTGAAAGTGCGAAAAAGGACTCATGTAAGTCTCAGTTAATCAGTTTTGTGTTGCTGTAGGTTCGATGTCACAGATGAGTTTACAAACTAGAGGAGGAGGAAGAAGACCAGAAATAATAAATTTTGTAAATAGTGAGATTTAGGCAATAAGAAATATACAAGACTGCATACTAGGCAGGTGGAGAGAGAGCTAGTATGGAGTTGAAGATTTGGGAGTTGTATATACAAAGCAGGTCACTGAATTCAGGGGAAGGAATGAACGTGCAGGAAGGACAGGATAGAGAAAGTATTAAAGATACTTGCAGTTTTTAATGTTTAAAATTATGATACTTGAAAGCTATCTTTTTATTTAATTGTGTTCAGAGATTACAGTTTATTTCTTTGTGATCCAAAGGATGACAGTAAAAGAATAAGCAAAAAGCACATCTGAATCCACCAACAGAAAGGAAACAAGAGCCCCTATCCAAACATCAGACAGAGCTGAATTCTAGGGAAAAAAAAGTAAACGTGACAAGGACAAAAAGAACTTAGATGTCATTACTGTCACTGCACCAAATTACATAGCATCAAAATGTATAAACAGAAACTACAGGCAAATACAGAGAGAAATATATTCGTGATGGAAAACTTTAAATAGCATCTCTTGGCTCAAGAAGATAAAGTGGAAAATAAAAGCTACATTGTAAAAATCTCATAACTATGTATCTTATTGTAAAAAAGTTGGTATCTAGAAACATTCAAGTGCCTATGTACATTGAGAAATATTAAACATAAAACTTGCACACACACACACGTTAGTATTCCAAAAGTAGAATAAAATCAATGCAAATAAATCTCTCCAAAGATGGCGATCTTAATTTCATTAAAAGCAGAATTTTTTAAGTAAAAATCTTAACACCTACAAGTGAAAATGTAGTAAATGGTAATTAAAGGTTTCATTGGAAATTTAATGTTCCTAGAAATTCATCCATTTAAGCTAGGTTTTAAGTGTTATTTCTTTGAGATACATTATTTTTCTAGATTATTTTTGAGCTTTGTTTTGCTGTAAATAGTTAATACACTTGACTTTTGAATCTATGTTCACAATTTCTAGTTTTGTTTTAACTGCCGTTGACTGGTTTGAGCATCAAGATTAACATAGTAAACAAAATAAAACAAACACCAAAAACAAGATTGGGAATAAGTTGACATACCATCTTGACCCAAAATTTTGTTGTAAAGATCAAACTGTAAAACCATACGACGTTTTCCAACATTTTTGACTGTGTTGGAGGTGTCTGATCAACATTTTAATTTCTTCAAAGGCTTCTGAACCATTTGTATTTGCCGTTTTGACATTTACGTTTTGGAAAATTTCATCCTTTTTGTTTAGGTTTTCATGTTTTTGTGTATGATTTTATATAACATTCAAGATTATTTTAATATTTGATAGAGCAGTAACCATCTCTGTTTTATTACATATTTTCTGTGTATCTCTACTCCCTTTTTTTGATCACCTCCACATAGAAATGTGCTTCTGCCAAATATTTTTCTCAATTATTTCATTCTCTTTGTGACTGATTTCTTCTCTTATCTTTTTTCAGTCCTGATTGTTATCTCATATTTATTCTTTTTCTAACTTCTTCAGTTGAAAGTATAACTCACACCATAGGTTTTGTTTCTTTTTTTCTCCAAACTCCCAGGATTCCTTAAAAAGCATTTAAAACTATATTTTCCCCTATGTTTATGGTTTAGCTTCACCACACAACTTTAAGATCTAGTACTGTATTTACTAAACTTCAACTCAAAGAATTTTGTAAGAAGACATTTCGTGATTTTTCTTTTAAAGAATATTTATGAAGAAAGAAATTTTAAGTGGCATTAAGTCCACTCAAAATGTTGTGTAAAAAAGCCTTTTGCTTTCTATATGATAGAATAATGCTCTTGCTCAGAAAATAAAATCAACATTATAGCAAAGGTAGGTATTTTTTGTCTGCTTTGATCATGAAGTTTTTGAGAGTACTTGATAAAATGGTCAATGGTATAGTTAATGATTTCTGTTCATTTTTACTTAATATAGTTCAAAGATACATACTATTAATTAAACAAATATTGACAATTCTTTTTGGTATATTATTACTTTTGTAAGTTTGAACCAGGCCTCTCCCTCCCTTTGGATATTTTTCATCTTAAATTCCTTTTGATCTGTTTCTAAACCTGCAGCCTTAGCTTTCTTTTGGCTTTTGTTTCTGAGTAAATTTTTCCATTCCTTTATTTTCAGACAAGGAGAAAAGCAACCCTTGAGTGCTGAGAACTTGCCTGGCACTATTGTTTAGACTTGGGTGTTGCTAGGAGCTGGCCAGGCAGGATCAGCCAGGTCACGGTGCTCTCCAGTTACACGAAAAACACAGAGAACACCAACATCAAACAGGACCACTCTCTGACCGTGAGGGCGCAAGACAAAACCAAGACCACTCTGTGATCATGTCTGAGCACAGACAAAAATCAGAACATTGTTCAAACCACAAAAGTGACCGAACATCCCCTTGTTCTAGCTAATACAAGTGACTGCTGCTTTTGACTCGCTCCATTCTTCCTACCTTCTAGATAAAAGATGCCCAATCACAGAACTGCCCAACGGCAATGGAAGTGGAGGTTCACTGAGATTCAGCTGAGATTCACTGCATCTGACTAAAAGCCTGCACTGATATTCCACTGCTTCTAATATATACAACAGAAAGGGAAGACAAGACGAGAATTACCCTGCCACGTTGTTCACGATATTGCACCATACAGTATTGAATTTTATCAATTGTTGAAAAAAAAGTGCACAAATGTGTCTAGTATGCCACTTTTTGTGAAATGGAAAGGAAAAAAGTTTATAATTGTTTTTATTTACATAAAGAAACTAAGCAGTCGCCGGGAGGGTATCGCTCAGTGGTAGAGCACATGCCTAGCAAGCATGAGGTCCTGGGTTCAATCCCCAGTCCCTCCATTAAATAAATAAATAAACTTAATTACCTCCCACCAAAAATGAAGAAAGAAAGGAAGGAAGGAAGAAACTAAGCAGTCAAAACTAACAAAACTGGTCATTTGTATTGGGGCAACCTGGGCAAGCAGGGGACAGAGATGCACCAAACACAGTCCTGACCTTTCCCAGAATTTCTTTCATTATGCCTTTCAACTGTACTGCTTTGTATATTTTTTTTAATTTCTGAAGTGTTTGTATTATCTACTCAAAAAATTACACCATTCCGAATAAATTATTACAATATTTTCAGATAAGAAATAAGATTACATCTGTGAAATAAGAACAGGATGCTAATAAAAAGAAACATTTATAAAACCAACTAGAGTTTTTGAAAATTAAAACTCTGAATTAAAATGTTGATAGCAGTAATGAGGAACTCAATAGAAGGGCTGGAAGACAAAGTTAATTAAGTTTAGCAGAATAAGAAGTAATAAATAAATAGAAGAACACGGAGAACCAAATTTCAGAGAGAGATTAGAGAAAGTATTTGTGTAGGGGAAACAGTTTAGGAAGAAAAGAGAAATGCTTTCAAAGTCTTGCACATAACTGATTTCTAACCAGGAATTTCATTCTCAGCCAAAAGATCAATATAGCATGAGGTCAAAATAAAGGAGAGTTTTCCTTGACATCGTACCTCTCCATTGTCATACTACTGGCCTCTAGATGTGGATACATGACCTGTGTGTTGCTCATTCTCAGCAGAAAGATCAAGATGTTTCAGGAGCAGAGGAGAGTCTGGCTGCTTCCTGTGACCCAGCTCCCTCCGCCCTCAGGCTTTGGTGCTCCCAGGACGAATTCCCACCCCTGGGACTCCTCATCCTCACCTCACATGAACTATGTTCCTCTGGAGCCAGGCCTAGGGATTTCTGGGGAGAGGACCAATTAGCTGGCATGGTCATGCTGGGTCTCAACCTTTATTCTCTCAGAAGCCTAAAGTTTGGTGGACATCTGTGAACTCCAGCAGAGCTGCTGGGGAGAGGTGAGCTGGGGTCTGGAGGAAGATCTGGCCCAGTGGCTCCCTAGAGACACCAAGAAACCTGAAAAGACAATGTCCACATGGTCAGTCATCACAGAAACATTTCCAGGGAACACCAAGATGTAGTTTCCTGAGCTAGACACCACAAAGCAGTGGCTCTCAAATTTGAGTGTGCGTTCAAATCACCTAAAGGGTTTGTTAAAATACAGTTAAAAATCCTCAGACTCACTCTGACAGTCTCTGATGCTGTAGGTCTAGGGTAGGGGCTGTCTATTTGGGCTACTCTAACAAAATACCAGATTGGGGAGCTTATAAACAACGGAAATTTATTGCTCACAGTTCTGGGAAGTCCAAGATCAAGGTGCCAGAATGATCATGTTTTGGTGAAGGCCTTCTTGGTTCATAGCCAGCACCTTCTAGCTGTATCTTCACATGGTAGAAGGGGCTAGGGGCTCTATGGGATCTCTTTTATAAGAGCACTAATCCCATTCATGAGGGTTCTACCTTCAAAACCTAATCATCCCGCAAAGGTCCAACCTTCTGATACCATACTTTTGGGTGTTAAGATTCCAACATATGAATTTGGGGTTGGGGGGCAAACATTTAGACCACAGCAGAGCCCAAGAATTTGCATTTCTAACTAGTACCCAGGTGATGCTAAAGCCGCTATTCCAGGAACCACACTTTGAGAACCAGTGCTGTGGAGAACATATTTAACAAAAACCTGTGATAGTCATGGTAAAATACGGGGAAAATCATGAGATATGGAGTAATGTTATTGCAGATTTGAATTGCAGCTCTGCTACTTTTCGGTTATGAGAAAATGAAGAAGCTATTTCAGCTTCAGTTTCAAAAATGAGGATGAAAGTGCCAACCTCAAAAAGTTATGAACATTAAATGAGCTGGTGCTTGCAAAGCACTCATCACCTCCCTGGAACGCAAGCAGCATGCAATAAATATCAGCCACTACCACGCACTATTGGATATTAAAATTTAATATAAAAATATAAAAAGCAAGTAAAGCAATAGACTAGACAATACTGATTTATATACGTGACCAAAGTGACATTCAACTCAGTGTACACAAGACATTCTTCGCATAGATGGCGTTGACATAATTGGCTATCCATCTGGAAGAAAACAAACTAGATCCCCAACCTACACTACACATTAGACTGAATTCCAACAGGAACAAACATTTTAAGTTTATGTAATTAAAAAATCTCAAAGAATATTAAAATAAAATTTAGAGTATACATTTGTATAACACTGGTGGGGTAGGAGGGACCTTATTACACATGAGAGAAAACCCAGAAACTACAAAAGAAAAAACAAATATTTCTTAATTCTATGTTAAAATACACCTTAAAAATAAAAATCAAGATATACATATAAAAGATTTTTTCAATATGTGATGATAGGTTATCCCTAATGTTAAAAAATCTAGCAAACAGAAAAAAAATGCCCAGAAAAAAACAAAGGATATGAAAATTCAAAGAAAAGGCAATTTAGATGGCAATTAAAGAAAAAGATGCTAACTTTATTAACAGGAAAATGCATTAAGGCAACTAGGTATAGTTTTCCCTCAGAATTGTAAAAGCTTTTTAAAAAAAATGGTGGAAAGCATTTGGGAAATTGAACTCTCTTATAAATTGTTGGTGGAAGCTTAAATTGCTATAATATCTTTTGAATTATTCAGTCGTATCTATTATTAAAAATACACATAACCGTTCCTAATAATAGTTTCAAATATATAAAGCAAAAACAGATAGAAGGAAGGGCAAGTGGACAAATCACCTTTCCAGTGTGAGTGTATCTTTATAATGAAACAGACAAAACAATCTGTGTAATGTATTTCTGAAACAATACAATACAATTAATAGAGAACACACTGTTTTTACGTAATAGATAATGACATTTAGGAAAACAGACCGTGAACTGGGCCATAAAGCAATTTTTACACTTGATCATCACCCAGAGGTATTTGAAATAGAGAATGCACTTCTAAATAATTCATGCGTCATAGAAAAAAAAACTGAAATTCAAAAAAAGACAAAAACAAAACCCCAACACTCAGACTTGAGCAGTAAAGAAAATGCTACATACCTAAGCTTGTGAATATTTATAAAGCAAGCTCGTCACAGACCCGAGATCCCTATGCTGACGCCACAGACCCTGTCACTGACCAGAGACCCTCATCACTGGACCCTCAAATCCCAACTGCTCATCTCAAAGATCCTCATTGCCCAGAGAGAACCCTATCACTGACCCCTCTGACACCCATCAACCGACGCCACAGACCCCGCCCCTAATGCTGAACCCCAAAACCATCATCACTAACTCCACGGACAACCCTTCCATCACTGACCCCACAGATTCCTAATCAAGATCAGCCAAAATCACCTCAGAGACCTCTCGGAATTAAAACGTGAAGATCCTCTTGAAACAAACGGCAAAAACGACTCCGAAGGCCACTTCCGCTTCCTCTAGCACCGCCCCTAGAGGACTGTTGGTACTGCGCATGCTCTGAGTTGCCTTAGAAGCGGCGTTCTGCCAGCAGTCAACCCGGCGAAGATCCGTTGCTAGGGACCTTGTGCAGTGTCCGTAAGAGGCGCTGTCGGGCAGAGAACATGGCTGCGCCCAACGGCGCTTCGGCTTGCGGGGCGCCATTTTGGGAAGAGTGTCCATTCCGTACACTGGGGAAATAGGCCTCCTGCCGGTTTTCATACAGGTAGGCAGGGGTTACCACACAGAATACGGGAGTGTGGTCTTGGCTAGGTAGGCTTCCGGGAGGAGGAAGCTATTGGAGATGCGGTCCGGAGCTTCATGTTATGTAATAGAAAACCTACAATGCCCCTCGGGATACAGCACAGTGCGGAGGGCAATTGCCTGCTTGGAGAAACCACCCGGGAAGTAGGGAGCCAGGGAGGAAAAATCACCAAAGGAGAAAGACAGATGCCTTATATTCCACGGCTGGATCCTGGGAGAAATTACCGGGGGATGATCAGGATGTCAAGTCAGAATGGTACAATCCATTTTTTGGAGGAAGTACTCAGGGAGAGTGTGGAGAGGTTAGAATGGAGTCCGCTCCTGGGCCGAAAACATTCAGCAAGACAGAGAAATGTCAGAACGAGCAATCCGCTGCAGGAAGGATGGTGCAGTCTTTAACACGAGAAATGAAACCTTAAGTCCAGTCTCTGACTCCTCCCTTAGCTTCTCCTATATGGAAATTGTGGAGCAGCTAACACTCTCCCCACCCCCAGTTCCCCACTCGGGGGGGGGGGGCTATGAGTGGGATTTGTAAAGACAAGTCTTTTCATCTCGTGGGCTCCTAGATATTCTTCAAAACCCAGCTTAAATGTTGCCTCTTCCAGAATGTTCTTCCACCTGATGATGGTAGGAGTTTCTATGTCCTACTTAAGGTGTTGTTTCAGTCCCAGGAGATGAGGAAGATGTTTTGAGGGAACTGGGCCTGGGCTCTGATGTGGACATCCTGGGTATCTTCAGGCCAGTTGTGTCCCCTTCTGGGATTCAGCTTAAAAATAGGACAAGTTAGAGGGTTGGACTCTGCTTATGCCAGGTTCTCTTTCTTTTCCCAAAGCCTGATTTAAGGAAAACCCTGTGAAAGTCCATTAGTAAACATACATTTTTATCAGAGGCCTAAGAATTACTGTTAATTTTGTTGGTAATGTGGTTATGTTAAAAAAAAAGTTTATCTTTTAGAGATTCATATGGAAGTATTTATGGGTGAAATATTAGCTTTAAAAACTTCACTGGAGAGGGGTAGATGAATGAAACAAGAGTAACAGAATGATGATAAATGCTGAAGCAGGGGATGATGGGTACATGGAGTTTAGTATAACGTTCTCTTCTTTAGTATTTGTATGAAACTTTCACAGTAAAATTTAACTAGACAGGAAAGGCGTTTTAAAAACATTTTCAAAGAAATATTATGAAGAAGAAAGCAGGTGTGTTGACAGAATTAAATAATACAGCCATAAGCAAACAATGAATAAAGATATTCCATATTTTAAAAAGATGCAGCTACCATGGGCATACAACACTTCTAACATTTATTTCACAATATAGTTCTGTAATATGGGAAAAAGTGATAGAACAGGGACATTTTGAGGAAGCTACAATCACAGTAGCATATTAACACATCTCTCAGAAACAGATCAAACAGAAGAAAGGTGAGGATTAGGCTGTACTGGAATAATATAAATAGTTTGCTTGGTATATCACTCATTTACATTGAAAAAAATTTTTAACCAGAGAATGAACATTTTTTCCCCAAACATAGAACACTCATAAAAATTCTCCACAAAGTAGGCCAAAAAAGAAATTACAAAGCTCCTAGATTTATATCACATAAGTCATATTCTCAGACAACATCAAAATGAAAATAGAAAGCAACAACAGGCAGATAATGAAATGTTTTAAATGCCTGGGCATTAAAATATACGTACGTGAGTAATTCTTCGGTTAAGGACAGCATAACAAGGGATATTACAAATTATTTAGAATGAAGAGGGAAATAATAGTACAATGTATTGAAAATCTAAGGGATGGGCCATGTCTGTTTAACTCACTGCTGTTTAATCAGCTTATAGCACAATGTCTACCATATAACAGGTGTTCAATTAAGTAACTATTGAATGATGAAGGGTTAGGAAAAGGAATTAGAATGAAGGTACAGGAAAATATCAGGAAGTTAAGAAAATAGGGAAAGCAGTTAAGTTTCATAATCATCATTATTTTAAAATAATTTTTATGATATTCTATGCATTGTGGCAAAACTATATAGTTAAGCTTCATGTGATTCTGAACATATAGATTTGTGGATGTGGGAGGCTAGCACTCTCCAGTGATGCAAAGAGTGTATTAGTGACTCCTGAGCCAGAAACTCTGTAATAAAAACAACACTGAATGTTATTTGATGGGGACAAGGGTATGGTTGTTCAAAGTGGAATACCCTAGGGAAAGTTCAAAGGACTGACTGAGTTTGGTGTGAGCAGATGATGCAGAGGGCTTTCACGTCAAGAGTAGACACTGTGTAACATACCACTTGGTTGGCATGTGATGATGCTGGCCAAGGATGAGAAACTAGATAACTTCACCAAAGGCTATAGCCATTGACAGTCTGAAGTAAAAGCAAGCTCCAGATAGCATGACAGGGAGAGGGACAGCTCAGCGGTAGAGGGTGTGCCTAGCATGCACAAGGTCTTAAGTTCAATCTCCAGTACCTCCATTAAAAAATAAATAAATAAACCTAATTACCTCTCCCCCCAAAATTAAAAAGAAAAACTGAATAGCATGACAGAACAAAATGTAAAGTGCTGTAGTATGAAAATCAAATGAACTCTATCAAAGAGATTGGATTTCAAGTCTCAGCTCTACTATTTGCAAGGTTTGTGCCCTTTGAAAAATTTGTCTGTAAGTTCCATTTCCTCATCTGTAAAATGATGGTAATATCTGACATATATATGTTTAATTGCTAAAATTAAGAATAATTCAGGACAAAATTGGCAAAATATTGCTAACTGTTGAAGCTGGATGATAGATGCATGTAAATTTATTGTATTGTTTGCTTTGCTTTCATGAATGTTTGAAATTTTTTATAATAAAAAGAAAAGATAATAATTTGGGCAAAGTCCTTAGGAAAAAATTAAGTGGTTAGCAAATGGTAATTGTTATAAATAGGAAATTATCTTCACAAAAATCATAAAAGACCAATGATTTTGAAGACATCAAAGTAGAGCTGGGCTGAGAAGCACAAACCAAAAACTGAACGTTATTCTACTATCCTTCTCCAAAAGTCAAATAAAATTAATAGTACCAGAACATGTGCCCCATATATCATCGTTTTCCAGATGAAGAAAGTGTGGTAACTCATCCAGTTTCACCTATGGTCTTACATACTGGGGCCACTATAAGAGTCACCACTACAATGCTCAACAAACACACTGCTTGACGCTTCCAATAACCAGCCCCCATCAGCCCCATTCCAGGCTCTAGGATTTCTCTCCTTCAGTTTCTTTGGTGCGGTTTGGGTCTGAGACTCCCAGGTTTCCGCTGCCAGAGCAGCACAGGTCCTGCGCCAGGCTAATCCGCGGAGAAATGAATTATGTCAAAAATGGCGGTGTAGTCAGTCAGTCTGGAACATTCTCAGAGAGAGTTACAATTCCTAAAAGACTCTTGGGCGCCACTCTGTCCTTCACTGTGTCCAAGCTCAGGGCAGAAGGCCAACACAATCTTGGGCGGGCGCCTCAACCATCCCAACTCTGGACTACATTTCCCAGAAGTTCGGGCGGCTTCGGTGCTACTCCCGCGACCTGTTTCTATTTCTCAGGGAACACATGGCTCCCTGGGATTGGCTAGACACATGGAGGCAGCTTGTCTCTAGGGCGTAGGGGGCTGCCCCTGGATCTTGAAGACTACTGGCAGCGATTCCGAGAGGGGAGAAGAGATGTGGCTCGGCCTAGGCTGTGTTCTAACAGAAAATCCGAGGGCTGGCAGCCATCTTGTCCAAGCGAATCTGGCTCCGGACTACATTTCCCAGAGGCCCCGGCGGATTTAGGGCCGCCCCTTCACTCGCCTGCAGGACCCTCGGCCTCCAGGGAAGGGGGAGTGCAAGGTGAGCGGCCTAGGTCTTGAGGGCTCGGCTAGGTTCCGGAGGTGCATCCGCGAGGGTCTGAAGGGACTGTCTAGGCGGGTCCGGAGTCTCGGGGCCATATTATTTGGCCGGTCTGGGGGGTGGGCCGAAGTGTGGGATTCCACATGTGCGTTTGTGACCCTTGTGACTGTGTGGCGGTGTGTGCGGGTGTGTTTGTATGTCCCTGTGGTGGGTGTGTCATTGTGACTGTGTGCGCGGAGCTCTGTGTGTAGGTATGGTTGTGTCCCCGTGGTAGGACTGTGATTTTGCTTGTCTGTTTAACTTTGTGTCATTGTGTGTACTGGGGAGGGGAGTGTAGGGAATCTGATTATGTGGCTATGACTTTGTTATCTAAGGGCTGCGTGTGTGTGATTGATTGTGGTTCTATAAATGTTAGCAGTACTAAGTGTACTGGACGTCTGTGACTGTGAGGATGTGTGAGTGTGAACTTGTAACTTTTTGTGGCACTGTGTGTGTGGTTGGAGGGTGCCTATAATTGTGCCAGGCTGATTGTGTGTCCCAGTGGTTGATATATGACATCAGGACAGATTTTGGTCTTGGACAGCATTGACTTTTCCCCTTCTAACACCAGGAATGCTCAGGGCAGTCTAAATTCCTCTAAACTCTCTTCATCCGTCCTCTCCATGGGTAATAGGTGTGGGTCCAGAGTAACCTCGGATCAGTCTGTGCCACCAGAAAGGCCTGGCATTTCATGATTCCTTTCTCCTTTCTCAGCTCTGCTTTTCTCAGAGAGGTCCCCAGAGGAAGACGGAGGAATGGCTGTTGGCCATGCCGAATACAAGGTGCGCTTGGGTTTCCTTTTTGCTTTATAAGTACCCTGGTGCACATATGCATACTTCCCTAGGTAATAAACATACCAATGGAATTGCTGGGCCATAGGGTATGTGTGTATCTTCAAATTTCCTGGATAATGCTGGCCTGATTTTCAATATGGTTGTACCAGTTAAATTCTTACCGGCAGTTTATAAACCTAATCATCTTGTATTCTTTCTAATATTGGGTCACTTGGTATTTTAATTTTTGATGAATCTGCTGGTGTAATGGCTTAGCATGTGGTTTTTAAAAATACACACTCCAAAAAGTACAAAAATAGAAATATAAGACTTGATGAATTTTACAAAATGATCATATTTGTTTAACCAGAGCTCAGGAAATCAGTTCAGGAAATAGAGCATTACCAGCATTCCAGAAGCCTAATTCTTGTCCCGTCCACTCACTGCCCACATCTCCCAAAGATAACAATTATTCTATCTTCTATAGCCATGGATTAATTTTATCTGTTCTTAAATTTTATATAAATAGAATCACACAGTATCTGCTCTTTTGTGCTTGGCTTCTTTTTGTTCACCATGACATTTCACATGTAATACGAATGTACTGTGTAATAATATTATGTAGTATGGATATGTGAGATTCATCCGTGTTGCTTCATGTAGTTGTAGGTCATTTGTTATTGTTGCTTAAAAGTGCGTTGTATAAACATACCACAATTTGTTTATCCTTTCCATTATTGATTGGCTTTTGAGTTGTTTTCAGGTTGGGACTATTATGAGCAGGACTGCTATGACCATTCTTGTGTGTCTGTTGGTGCACGTATGAATGCATTTCTGTTGGGTATATTTCTAGGAGTGAAACTTCTGTAGCATAGGTTATACAAATATTCAACTTTAGTATATATTGACAATTTTCCTAAATGGTTGGATCAGTTTACACTCCTGACTTTAGTGGATGAGAATAGACTTTGAGAGAAGCTTTACTGGAGACGAACAGCAATAGTTCATAATAAAAAGGTTAGTCCACCAGTAAGATATTATCATTCTAAATGTATAGACCTTCATAAAATGACTTCAAATATATATGACAGAACTGATAGAGATAGTAGACAAATCACAATCATAGTAGGGGATTTTTAGCACTTTCTTCAATAGCTGGTAGGACAATCAGTATAAACCCAGTAAAGTTATATAACATTTGGACAATGTGATTGACAAATCTCACTTAAATGTTATATGTAGATCAGTGTACAATACAACTATAATATATATTACTTTCAGGTGCATATGACACATTTATCCAAATTGATCATATGCTGGACCATAAAGTGAATCTCAATAAATTTCAAAGGATTGAAACATACATAAAACTATATGTTTTCTGACCACAATGGAATTCAGCGAGAAGTCAACAACAAAAGATAATTAGAAATTTCCCAATGTTCAAGATTTAAGCAATGGTAAACAACTAGTGAGTCAAAGAAGAAACTGCAATAGAAATTCAAAGTATTCTGACTGAATGATAATGAAAATATAACATCAAAATGTGGGGTGTCGCTGAAGCTGAACCTGAGGGAAATATATAGCTGTAAATACATAATTCTAGTAAAGAAGAATGTTGAAAAATCGATCTATGTGTTCATCTTAAGAAATTAAGGAAAAGCATACTAAATTAAACCCAAAGAAAGCTAAAACTAGGAAACAATAAGAGCTCAAATATAAACTTACAAATACAAATATAAATGTATATTGAAACATGAAGTGAATTTATAATTGAGAAGATTAATAAAGCCAAAAGTTTATTTGGGGGAATTAGTACAACTGATAAGCCACTAGCAAAACTTGAAGGAAAAAAGGGAGAAAAGACACAGATTACCAAATTAGATAGGAAGGAAAAAACAAAACCACCACAGATTATGTTTAAGGCTGAGTTCCCAATTCCTGATTGGTACCTGGGACTTATTGCACAATATTAGAACCTGAGCCAGTGACCATTATGGTGATTCCCTTTTTAATTTCATCAGACGTGTAAATTTTTGATTTTGATAAAGATTTTTATTTTTGTAACTCAGTGTCTTTATTGGACATGAAGTGTGCTTTGTTTTCATAGTCTGCAACGTCATTACAACTCACTCTCCTGCCATGAAGATATATTGACGTGGGCGAGGGGTGTTTTTTAAAAAACTTAAATTTCCTAGTTAATGTTGCTACATAATTATTAGGGGTTTAATATTGTTAATAAAATGTTCATTTCCTAGGTGATAATGGACTGAGTATACAGTGAGCTCTCATTTGGAACATTCAGCTTATTACTTTACTGTACCCTGTTTCCACTTGGTTTTGTGTGTGTCCACTGGTGCTGACTGTGGAATACACTTTCTATCTTGGATTATTATGTGAGGCCACAGGTGTGATGGGTCCTTCCTGGTTTTGGTACAGTTTTTCCTTTTTCTGGAGCTAAGTGGCTTTTTTGAAGTACTCTGCATTTATACTTTTCAGATTGCGCAGATGGAAACAAGCACCTTTTACCAGGAATCTGAATAATATAACGAGAAAAAAAAACCCACAAATGAAATCACTAATTATGGCAAGTTAAAGAAAAAAACTATTCTTATTCACTTTCCTCTTTTGTGGACTTTATAACAGTTTTCCTCTTACATGTTATTATGGACTTAACATTTTCAGATGTTTCAGTTAACTGATGATTGTCATGGGCTCCATTGTAGCACAAATGCGGCAGGAGGAGTGTGTTGCTGCATAAATTTTCATTACTTGGCCCCCTGCAGGAGACTCTGAAAAGGAGTCCTTTCAGCACAGCACCTGATAGTTTTTGTTTTTTGTTTGTTTTCTTATAAACAACAGAAATTTATTTCTCACAGTTCTGGATGCTGAAAGTCTGAGAGCAGGATGGTCTCAGACATGGTCAGGTGAGGAGGGCCCTCTTCAGGGTTGCAGACTTTTTTTTTTCTCCTTTATATTTTAAAAAAAATTGTTTATTTATTTATGTTTAGTTTACAACGTTGTGTTAGTTTCTGGTGTACAGCAGCACCTGATATTTTTGAAAATAGCCTCACTTTTTGGTAATAGCAGAAGGTTCCAGATCTATCCGAAAAAAATTTTATTTTTTCTGTTCTAAGACATGTAGTCAGCTGTTATCCAGGAACCCTCTATGCTTTTCTCTTGTCTTCACTTTTCCTCTTTCCTTCTTAGAAATGAATAAAAGACCAGAAACAGGTGACTTATCTTATACCTGAGAGTTTGTTGGGCAAAAACGCTGCCATTATTGGGCTACTTTACGTGGTACCAGAGCTCAAAAGTTTTCTTTTTAAGGTTTTGTGTTCATATTATTTTTCTCTAATTTTCTTATCTTAAGTGATTTTTTTTTCAACCTTCAGAAGTTTCTCATACTTCTCATACTGAAGCTATTCAATATTAGCTTCATTATGTAGTGATTAAACATTCCAGTGGTAATTCTATGACTGCATAAGGCTAAAAACTTTTTTTATGACTCTATTAACCTAAAAATGAGCAGCCTTAAGAGTTGGAGAGTTAGGATACAGGTAGTATTTTTGCAAGTTAAACACTTGGTGTTTTGAGCAGGCTTACTCTGAATTAAAGTAATTTGGGTGGTGCAGATGAAAACGTTTACTGAAAATCTGGAGTTTACCCAAGAGAAATTAAGATGAGCATCAGTCTCCCCAGTTTTGTTGGCCCTATGCCCTTTCTGTCTTAATTTCCTCTCCAGTCCATTTTCCTGGCCAAAACCAAGCAAGGATGTGCTGATTCCCCTCGCCCATTAGCCACTCAGAATGTTTATGCCACCCTCAGTTTCTTTTCCTTACTAGGAAATAGAGTTATTGTCTATTCCAACATGAGTGGGGATGCGTTGGGAAAGTAATGGACTGTAATGGAAATTACATTAGAAAAGCATTCTAAAGAATTGGGTTCTTAAAAAACTAATTTTACTCAACATTATTAGTCATAAGGAAAATGTGAATCAAAACACAAAGAGATACCACTTCATACCTACTAGGATGGCTCTGATTAAAAAAACAGACAGTAAGAAGTATTGGTGAGGATTTGCAGAAATTGCTGGCGGGATATAAAATGGGGCAAATGCTTTAGAAAAAAGTTTGGTAGTTCTTTAAAAAGTTAAGCAGATTTACCATATGACCCAGCAGTTTCACGCCTAGGTACGTACCCAAGGGAATTGAAAACATATTGACACAAAAACTTGTTCCAGGAATGTTCAAAGCTATTCACAATAACCAAAAAATGGAAACAATTCAAATGCCCATCAACTGGTATAAATGGATAAACAAAATGTCGTATAGCCACACAGTGGAATATTATTTGCTGATAAAAAGGAATGATGTTCTGATATATGCTACAACATGGATATACCTTGAAAACTTGCTAAGTGAGAGAATCTAGTCACAAAAGGTCATATATTGTATGATTCCATTTGTATGAAATGTCTAGAATAGGCAAGTCCACAGCAGCAGAAAGTAGATTAGTGGTTGCTTAGGGCTAGGGGAGGAAGGGAAACGGGAACTGGCTTTTAATGGCTTTTCTTTTAGAGGAGATGAAAATGTTCTAAAATTGGATTGTGTTAGTATACTAAAAAGCATTGAACTGTATACTTTAAATGAGTAACTTATATAACATATGAATTATATCTCAGTAAAGCTGTTAAAAAATAAGAAAGCTGACCTAAAATTAGTGGATTAGAGTCCAGGTAAAACAAGATGTGACTTGATAATTGTTGAAGCTAGTTAATGGGCACATGGACGTTTTTTATACTATTTAAATTCTATTTTTGTGTACGTTTGGAAATTTCTGTATTAACAAGTTAAAACAAAAAGCTAACCTCATGCCTAATGGTGAAATACTAGACACGTTCATAGTAAAATCAGGAAGAAGGTACAGTATTATTTAACATTTTTTTTCTAAATCTACTAGAAAAACAGTACTGCATAGGAAACGACTAGAAAGCAATTGCTTTTTTTCTTCCCATGATTTCTACTATCAAGCTGCTTTAGGGGCTAGTTGATTTCCTGCCCATGGATGAGTTTTTCAGTCAGTGTTGGATAATAAAATGTCCATGTCACTGAACTAATCAACACCATAAACTTTTATAAAAAAAAAAAAATTAAGCCTCCTGACTCCTTGAGCAGGAGCTTGCAGTGAGGTAGCCTTGTTGATTACTTTTCTTTCCTTTTCCTGAACTTCTCCTCTGTCCCACTAGGTATTCTGAACTCCCTGAGTTTGGGAGCAGGGGAAGGGAGAGAGTAAGGGATAAAAAAAAAGAATCCTAGTTGTATTGACACTGGTCCTCTCTTGCCTTGGGGCGTGTTCACATCTGACTTTTTGTGAAGAGAGGGCAGTGGCCTGCTCTAGCTGGCTGCCTGCAGTTCCCACACTCGGCCTTTGGGTGTTAGTCCCCCGTGGAGCCCATCTCTAGAGTGCAGGGTGTGCTACTGAAAATCCTCTTGGTAGACTTAGAATAACCTAACCCCAGGCCAGCTCCTACTGTGATGTCCAGTCCCAGGAGAGAATTAGGCCCCAGTCTTTGTGCCTTCTAACTGAGAACTCTCGTTATATTCCACGTGGAATCCTGATGGCACTGGGGTCCCCTCTTTTCTTTATGAGGTGGCATACCAGTGCTTTCCAAAAATGCATCTTTCTGTCAAAGACAACCTTCTCTCCTACACTGCGGCCTCCTCTCATACACTCTCAAATCTCTGAACTACCTTTGGAATAGATGTTGAATTGAACCAAGGGCACAAAATCAGTTTCCAGACAGCTTATTTTGCACAATGCATAAGATAGCCGAGGTTTTTCACTGTGGAATCAGGATTCTGTGGCCCATGTTGTCTTGCTCTCCTTTTCCAGGGCCTCTCTTAAGCTGAGGATGAGAAAGGCATATTTTAACATCCTGTTAAAACTGAAAACTAGTGCAAATAATAAAATTCAAAAAGGTACAAAGTCAACATCCAGAAATCAGTAGACTTTGTATGTTATAAAAAAAAAAGTGGAAGATACATTGGGAAAAGACACCATTTAATAAAAGCCATAAAAAATAATGTAAGACACCTAGGAATAATCTGAATAAGAAACATACATGATACATAAGAAGAAAAATTTTAAATGTTCCTGATGGATACAGACATTGACTTGAATAAACAAAGGTATTCTGTGTTGTAGGAAAGCAAGATTCAACATCATAATCAAAGAATGTCTTAATCTACTCATTTTATGCAGTCGTGGGAAAAATACCAGTACAATTTTTAAACTGATCTACGTTCACATGGAAACTTTTGAAAAAAAAGAGTATTGAGGGGGTTATTATCTTTTTAATCTAGCTAGTCAGGCTTCAGGGTCAGAACTTTTTTTTTAAATGATGTTATTTTTTAGAGCAGTTTTAGATTTACAGCAAATTTGAGAGGAAGATACAGTGATTTCCCATATACCTCCTGCCCCTGCACGTGCTTAGACCATTACTAACATCCCCCACCAGAGTGGTACATTTGGTATGACTGATGAACCTACATTAACACATCATTATTAAAAAAAAAACACACATCATTATCACCCAAAGTCCATAGTTCACATCAGGTTTCATTCTTGGTGGTGTATAGTCCATGGGTTTGGACAAATGTATAATAACATGTATTATTACTGTGGTATCATAGAGACTAGTTTCACTGCCCAATAAGTCCTCTGTGCTTCACCTATTCATCCCTCTTTTCCCCCCTCCCCCCTAACCCCTGGCAACCACTGATCTTTTTACTGTCTCCATAGTTTTGCCTTTTCCAGAAAGTCATATATAGCTTTTCATATTGAAAATGGCAGACATGTATATGGCATGCATATATGGCATATATGTGGCAGATAAAGCCTTTCATATTAATTTCTTTCACTTAGTAATACGTCTTTTCATGTCTCCATAGCTCATTTCTTTTTATTGCTGAATAATGCCCCTTTGTCCAGATGTGCCACAGTTTATTTAACCATTCGCCTACTGAGGGCCATCTTGTTCTTTCCCAAGTTTTTGCAGTTATGAATAAAACTACTATAAGCACCTGCACAAGTTTTTGTGTGACATAATTCTAAAACTCCTTTGGGTAAATACCAAGGAACACAATTGCTGGATCATACGGTAAGAGTATGTTTAGTTTTGTAAGAAGCTGCCAAACTGTCTTCCAAAGTGTCTGTACCGTTTTGCATTTCCCCCAGAAGTGAATGAGAGTTCCTGTTTCTCTGCATCTTCGCCAACCCTTGGGGTTCTCAGTTTTCTGGACTTTGGCCATTCTAATAGGTATGTAGTGGAGGGGTCTTTTTAGAATTAAGACAATAAAATACATTTTAAAATTATAATAAATAGAGAATGTGGTACTGACAAAAGAATAAATAGATCACTGAGTCAAAACAGAACCACACACAAAAAAAGTAGAACCACAAATAAATCCCAACATGTATCTGTGATAATGGTAACATTTAAATCAGTAAGGAAAATATATTCCATAGTCATCTGTTCTAAAGCTCACTTTTCTTTTCTCATTTCAGCATATCTCAAGTCAGGTTATATCTTAAATAGTTTCTTTCTTAGTGGCATATAAAATAATGGTGCATTTTAAGTCCCATGAAATATTACATTATTCATGTGTGATTTTGTATACTTGAGTAGCCTCCTCTGGGGGAAAATTAAGTCGGATTACCAACTCCTATCTTATACTAAAATAAAATTATAATTGATAATCTTAGTCTGCTGTCTTTTACCAAATAGTCTCATACCCAAATAAAATAATAATTGATTAAAGACTTAAATTTGTGGGGGAAGGATAAATTAGGAGTTTGGATTACCATATACACACTATTATATATACAATAGATAAACAAGGACCTACTGTATAGCAGAAGGAACTATACTCAGTATCTTGTAATAACCTATAATGTAAAAGAATCTGAAAAAGGATATGTGTGTATGTATAACTGAATCACTTTGCTGTACACCTGAAACTAATACAACATTGTAAATCAATTATACTTCAATTTTAAAAAAAGAGAAAAAAAGACTTAAATGTAACAAATGAAAGTGTTAAAAGTTTTAGAAAAAAGAGACATTTATATAAATATGTATAGGTTAGAAACATCTTACCCCAAAACTAGAAGTGTTGGCATTTTGACTGTTTTGTGTGGCAAGAACACATAAGAAAAGTTACTATTTTTTAAAACAATAGAGCTAGAGCATCTAGAGTATAAGAATGAGGAGTGCCTCATTGTGGGTATGAGTGTGTGGTGGGGGGCGCTGACTGATTTTCTGGTGCCTGGGAGATGAGAAGGCTTGATTAGGGGAGCCTTTAGTTCCTCTGATTAGAGTGAACTGTGTTCCTGACCAAATGCACCATTTGGGTGAATCAGGCTTGGGGACCTGAGGGCTGCAGGGGAGCACTCTGCTCAGGGCCGATCATAGCAGCTCTGTCTTAGGTTCAGAGCAAAACATCACTGGAACGGGGCAAGGTGCTGCCTGAATCACTTGGCTGTCAAGTGATTGCCCAAGTGAAGGAGAGGGAACCTGGATTGCCTGGGTGAAGGAGAGGGAATCTCAGTCTGTATTCCTTTGGATCTGCTAGCCGGGATCCTTCTTGTTACAGCTGCAGCCTGGAGATTCTGGGGTTGAGGAAGGAGTAGGATTTATTCCATGCTCCCACTAACTAGAGTTCTATCAATGGACCAAGGGAGATGGAGGTAGTTTTGCCTGGACAGTCTGAGGACTGTAAGGCCAGTGTGATTTCTAGAACTTTCCTTTGCTTCACCAGGCCTGCCTTCTCAGAACACTATCCTTTTTCAGGAGAACAGCCCCAAGGAGGACTGATCATCTACAGTATTGAAAGCCATGGCCCAGGTGAGTTAGTTGTTGTTCTTTCTTACCTTCCCGACACTCAGTTCTTTTTAAGAAAAAAAAAAATTTTAAGGGCATGTGAGCATTTGCTATCTTTCTCCTGACATTTCTGGCTATCAGGGTCCCCCTTCAGGATCGTGGTTCCCATTTCCTCTCATTGTTGCTAGATAATCCTGTGCCACACCTACACACCTGCTTCTTTTGACCCAGCCTTAGTATTTTCATTCAGTAAACAACTGAGCATCTCTTTCCTCAGTCCTCTCCCAGGGACTATGATGGAGGGGAAATGCATTTTCTTAAAGGAAACAAGAGTAGATTTATAGAATGAACTTGTCCTGTCTGTATGGTGATTTGATGAGGTGGAGGTATGAGTTGCTTAGCTCAGAGCAAACATGGAAAAGCCAAGATTATCTCTACAGATCAGATGGGAGGTGGTGTTGGTAGCTCCAAATGTTAGATTGTTGCAAGATCTCCTGTTTTATAACGCTTGGAGGCCTGTTGGGTGGGAACTGATACAGACAGATCTCTGGAACTCTGTTAGGATATCCATGAGAGAAGTCCAGTTTAAGGTTGAGCAGGAAGTGTGGGTCATGAGAGTTTCCATCTGAATCACCAGTTTTCTTTATCTCAGAAATAATGATAGTATTGATGGATGATTACAGTGAGTTCAGCCAGTTCATAAATTACTGAGATCATACTATAAGAGCTCAGAAGAACCTTCTAAATCTCACCCAGTAATATCTATATTGTAGAAAATTCTGGTGTCAGAAAAATAATTATTAAAGATTTGTATTAACAGGAAATTATTCTTATAACCATAAGGCACAAGAGAAACTAGAGTTTATGAGAGTCTTTAAAATTATATGCTGTTTCAGAAATATTGCTCTTCTTAAAATGTATTTGTCAAATTTTACATGTTAATAATTCAAGGAGCATTAATGGAATCACATCATCACGTATGAAATATTCTTGACAAAAAAATCCCAACTGAATCTGATCAAGTTTCTGGACTCACCACTTCATCCTACTCCATAAAGGCAGGCACTCATCTCTTTTAGCGGTATCCAGTGAATTTAACTGTATTTTAAATTAATATTCCTATGATGCTATTTCTTGATTAATTAATTTTTAGACATTTTCTAGTTTTTTACTTGCAAGGTGTGTGTGGATTTAGATATGCTATATCTCACTCTCTACTGCCTTTCCTCACAACAGAGTTATATCACAATTTTGTTTAAATCAATGCTATATACACGTTTGCAACTATTCTCTACCACCCCTCTTTAGAAAACTTTCTTTTTAAATTCCAGACACAGAAAAGTGGAGTAGTCTTATGAGCTACCATGAATCCACC